TGTTACTACAGGAAGAAGCCTAAACTAAACTAACTTTATTTATACTGGATAGCTCTATCAGTTCTAAACTGTTCTTCCTAGAGGTCCAGTAAGAATCATCTCTTATTGATCCAATGTTACTACAGGAGGAAACCTAAACTAAACTAACTTTATTTATACTGGATAGCTCTATCAGTTCTAAACTGTTCTTCCTAGAGGTCCAGTAAGGATATCTCTTATTGATCCAGTGTTACTACAGGAGGAAACCTAAACTAAACTAACTTTATTTATACTGGATAGCTCTATCAGTTCTGAACTGTTCTTCCTAGAGGTCCATGGTGAGAATCAAACCTGTGACCTTTGGGATACTAGCCCAATGCTCTACCAACTGAACTACGAGGTCAGAGTAACATGAGAAACATTATATTCACCTGAGCACATAAAGGAAGAGATTATTTTGCTGGCCTCAGAATGACAAAACGTAACAAGCAACTGTTTTACTAACACTAACCCTACTCCAAACACTAACCCTAATCCTTACCCTAACCTAACCCTACTCCAAATTTGTTTCTAAACCAATCTTGAAGAAAAAAGTTGACGAAATGTCATTCTGAAGTCAGCGAAATAGTTGATGCCATACATAACACCAAAACACACACAAGAACATATCACATTGAAAAGTATTTTATTATCACCTCTCGTTTCAATTCCTTATTCTGTCGTTCTGCCTGTTCAAATTTCCCAGACAGTTCATCGTTGTTTCTTCTCTCCTCCACCAACTGTTTCTCGTTGTTTCCCACAGCCTTCTCCAGGTCTCGATTACGTTCCTCAAGGACTTGGATCTCTCTGATAAATGACTGTTCACCACCTCCAGAGTGTTTGCGAAACTGACGGATCTCTGACTCAAGACGTTCAACTTGATCTTGAAATAAAGAGAATATCAGTGGAGGATCCAGCCATCCAACCAAATCAGAATTCAATAATTTCATTTTATATTTATTAACCCTTTAAGTGGCAGAGCTGCCCCAGAGTTCAATATAATTCTGAAAACTTGGTCTGACATTCTGTAAGACCAATCCATGTTTTGTCGGACACTTAATTATTCTCAAGAGGGATGTTGTTACTTGTCACAGTACTATGAACCAAAACCGTAACAACTACCAAAAGTCCAAAACCATATATGCATAATGGTTAACAAATTGGGTAGTACCAATGTAAAAATGCTGTGCTGAGTGGTTATATTACTACCTTAAAAAATAAGCAGAAACTCTATGTTTCAAGCGAAGGCCCTTCGTCAAGAGTTAGTAGCAGGGTAATTAGACAGGGTTAATTAGACTATTTTCCAATGCACCCTGTGGCAATGCACCCTTTTTTTCTGTGTCTAAAGCCAAATGATTCCTACCTTGATAACGTTCAGCCATTCGTTCAATCTCTTCACTTGCAATCGAAGCCTCAGTGGCTTTAATTCTCATGATCATTTGAGACAGAAGGAACAACTTCTCCATCTTGTTGCTGTCCTGGGCAGCCTCTGGGTCAAAATTACCCTTCATGGAATAAATTATACAACAACGTTTTACTTTTTCCTGCTGTTGTTTGAGTTATTGAAAAGCTGAAACATTTTAACGTTTCAAGAGAAGAGCAACGTTATATTGTTTCCGAAACTTTCACCTGTCACATTTAAAACTTTAATGCCTTTAAAATCTTTAAAAAATCTTTTCAAATACAACCTTGACAGTCCCATGATTTGAAATTTTTTTACAGATTTTAAAGGCATCCCCAAATTTAAGATATCTTTTTTCAGGCAGCTCAGACATACCTATATAAAAAAATCCATTTCTATCATGATGTTCAATGGATTCCAATGGGAAAATTTAAGTCCCTATCTCTATATATGGGAATTCCAATTGGATCTTTTGTAACTTAGGGCAAATTACAGCAGCTTATTGTAGAATACTACCTACACTGGACCACCACGTTTGAGGTATCTTTTTCAGGTAGTTCAGACACAAACAATGACAGCTTTATTGTAGAATACTACCTACACTGGACCACCACATTAGAGATATCTTTTTCAGGTAGTTCAGACACAAACAATAACAGCTTTATTGTAGAATACTACCTACACTGGACCACCACGTTTGAGATATCTTTTTCAGGTAGTTCAGACACAAACAATATAAACAGCTTTATTGTAGAAATTATACTACCTACACTGGACCACCACATTTGAGATATCTTTTTCAGGTAGTTCAGACACAAACCACGACAGTTTATTGTAGAATACTACCTACACTGGACCACCACGTTTGAGATGTCTTTTTCAGGTAGTTCAGACACAAACCATAGCAGTTTACATACTGTCATCATATTTAGAATACTAATTATACTATTCTTAATAAAAACCTAGCTTACTTCCACTATAAATGCATTATATAAATTTAAACAACTTCAAACAAATAAAACAGAACAAAATCATACCTTGGTTATAACACGATATATTTCCTCAGATTCTTGTTCATTTTCCTGTAGGTTTCGTAAATCAACTGACATAATCCTGCCCCAGTCTAGGGGAGGCATTTTAGAGACTTGAAACAGACTTTAAACAAACTTTTTGGAGATTTTTGAACGCTTTTTGACAGTTGTCAGGAACGCTCTCAGAACAGCCATGTTGAATTTATGCGCCGGAATCTGGGACTAGAAATTTTATTTAAAAATTTTCCCGCCAAGCGCGCGCGAAGTGACGTCATAAATATTAGGATTATTTAGGGACATTGAGCTATACTATGGATCACTATGGATATTATTCTCATTCTTAAATTCATGCTTTAAATTCAGGCTTTAAATTCAGATGTAAAATTCAGGTGTAAAATCACGTGTTATAAATTCAGGATTTAACGTGCATGCGCACTGCGCCCATTGAACTGTTGACGCCTCGTTGCCAGGGCAATGCAGTCAAAACTTTCACACTATATAAACATCATTAACCCTATCCATCATCTTACATCATTGTACATCATCCTACATCATACATAAAAGTAATTCACGATCACTCAACATCACTATGCTCCAGAACACATGTTGAAAATATGTGTTTTAATAACATTTTAATGGTTCCACTCCATTATAGAAGAACGCAATACAGTCTATCCATTGAATGGTTCCAAACTTCCACTGCATTGCAAAAGAATGCAATACAGTCCATCCATTGAATGGTTCCACTGCATTGAATGGTTCCACTGTCCGTCCATTGAATGGTTCCATTCCATATTACAAAATAATGCAATACAGTACCACAGAATAGACCATACAGAAGCACGACTTCTTAGTTTTTCCGATGATTTTCCAATGATTTTGGTGTAACCGTAATTCGTCATCAAAATGCTGACGCCATGGGCCTAGCCAGTGCGCGTTTGAGAGGCATCACCCCTCTGAAAATATTCAATATGGCGATGTCCAGGGGTAACGCCCCTCATAAGCGATTAAGCACACTGGCTAGGCCCATGGCGTCACCATTTTCATGATAAATCAAGGCGTGGCAGCGGTTTGCTCGAGTCGACCTTCTGTATGTCTTTATTCTGTGATAGTACAGTCATCCTTTGCTTAATCTAATCGTGAATTAAACCAAATCTGGACCAAACCAAATCTGGATTAAAACAAATCCTTTCATAAACTAATCCAGAATGAAGCCTGACTGGTTAATCTCTTGTTAATGTCCGCTAAAGCGTCTTTAAAACTCTCAATTGGATCAAGATAACTCCACATCATATATAATCTTGGATAAACCTAATCTGGATAATCATAAATCCTTTCATAAACTAATCCAGAATGAAGTCTGACTGGTCAATCTCTTGTTAATGTCCGCCAAAGCGTCTTTAAAATTAAATCGTGGATTAAGATAGCACAAACCCGGATTATCCTCGAATTTGGATTGTTCTGTGTTTTTAATCTTGTATGTGTTTTCATATTTTGTGTGCGCGGCCAGAGCGGCTGGTGACTTACGTTTGTGACGTCGTTTCATCTGTGGCTTGTGTAGAGTGCTCATGATATCCTGCATGAAAATATAGATCGAGATTAAGCTTCAAATTCTTTTGTATTCCTTAAGCTAACTTTATTCATACGGAGATCCCGAAGTTCTAAACTTTTCACCCTATCACAGGAGGAAGCCTGGACTAAAGTAACATACACTAGCTATACTTGATAGCTCTATCAGTTCTAAACTGTTCTTCCTAGAGGTCCAGTAAGGATCATCTCTTATTGATTCAGTGTTACTACAGGAGGAAACCTAAGCTAACTTTATTTATACTGGACAGCTCTATCAGATCTAAACTGTTCTTCATAGAGGTCCAGTAACGATCATCTCTTACCGACCCAGTGTTACTACAGAAGGAAACCTAAACTAACCTTTTATCTACTCAACCTACTTCAAACTTTCTGAAAATTGTCAAAAACCATTTCTTTCGTCAAAACAATTACTTAGAAAAAAATTTAAATGAGTTAAATTGCAAGGGGGACCACAGGCAACGCTTGGATGGGAAAAGGAAACAAACGAACACAGGAAATTCGTGAAAATTCAAAACATGCCTCAACGCTGAGTCTACTTCAAACTTTCTCAAAATTATCAAAAACCATTTCTTTCATCAAAACAATTACTTTTAACTGATAAAACCTTGTTTTGAATTTTAGTCAAATGCAAAGGGGGGTGGGGGGGGGGGCAGAGAGTACAGACCACAGGGCCAAGGGGGGGGGGTCAATTTTTGAAAGAAAGAGAAAACCTAGGTTGTCTACATACTTGTTTTACAGGAAGTGATTTCTGTTTTATCCTTGGTCGTTTGGGTTTGTCATGGTTTTGTAAAATCCTTTTGATTTCCAAACGGCTGTAGAGTTCTTCTCGATATCCTAGAGGTAAAAAACAACTCACTTCACAACAATAACCTGACTAGTAAGACTACACTAACAGTTATGGTAAAGTAATACGAGCAACAAAATTGCAGCTGTTTTCAGGGTGTGCACCTTTTGGTGAAGGTGAAATTCCAGGACTTTTCCAGGACTTTCAAGGCCATTTTTCAGTAAATTCAAGGACCTCGAACTGGGAAAAATCTTTGAAATTGGCACGGATTTTAGACTTTAACCAGCAAATAATTCACTTTATTCAGTAATTTTAATCAAAATCACTAATGTTGGCACAGCTAGAGGTTAAGGAAATTAATTCCAGGACTTTCAAGGACTTCTATTGATTTTCAAGGACTTTCCAGTCCTGGAATTTGTTTTCCAATTCAAGGACTTTCCAGGATTTTCAAGACTCCTGGACACCGTGTGTTTTATAAAATACAATCTACCTGAGTATCGTTTTCCCTCCAAGGATTTGTTATCAGACAACACGTGACCACAGACACACGATTCACTTGAGATTGGCATCTGAATGATAAACATATTTATGATAAGATGAATTTGAAATATTTCTTCACTTGAATCACTTCACTTGCTTGAAACTGAATATACTATTTAAAACACGAGCATGCAGGAGTGATTTAGGGGCGGACCATTAGAAATCTCGGGAGGGGGGGGGATAAAATTTTTGCTGCACGATTTTTTTTTTCAGTCTCATTTCTCTGCAGGATTTTTTTTAATGCATTTAACCTCTGCAAGAATTTTTTTTCAAGACTATTTGTACTTTGCTGTTTGCTTGCACGATTTTTGTTTCTCTGACGTAATGGCTGCACGAATTTTTTTGCAGGCATTTTTCTTTGCACGAATTTTTTTGGGGGGAATTTTCACCCCCCCCCCCTCCCGGGATTTCTAATGGTCCGCCCCGTTATCAGATCTAAAACACGAGAGCGCAGCTCGAGTGTTTTATATCTGATAAAACACCGACTGCGAGTGTTTTAAATGGCTTAAAAAACTACCCATCTGATGAGTTCATTGGCGAAGTAATTTCAAAAATGAACGTTGTCTAAGCCGAGAAAATCAAGGTTAAAGTTTATATAAATAAACATGATTTTTTATCACATATAAACTGACCACAGACATGGCAGTGATTTCTTTTGTATTTTCCTCATGAATTATTAATGATCTTTTAGATATATATGGCCAAATAAAAATAATAGTTGGTTTCAGGTTTCACAGCCATGTTTTATATAGGTAGGTAAATCGGAAAAACATTTTATTTAAAAAAATATTTTATCTCAAGTATGCAATAACGGGATCACCCGCGAGCTACATATGTTTCGCAAAAAACAAACGAGTCAAGGCGTTTTCGTCTTTTTTCAGCCGTAGCTGCAATGTCAGAATAACGTACGTTTTTAGTATTTTATTCAACTGTTCTTTGTGTAAAACTATGATTAACATGACTAGATAATGATTAAATTATAAGCAAACAAAATAATTTGTAGACAAATGAGTCTGATGACTATTTATATATTCTGCTATTTACGAAAAGATGATCTCTACTGGGAAATGTCAATAAAATGTTTATGAGTTCTTTGTATGTTTGCATGGTGATAAAATATAATAGTTTTGTTTGTGGAAACACCACGTAACTTTATTATTACAAAATGTTTATGGTCGGTCATATTTTTTGACAGGTCGGTTGGAAACCTGAAACCAACTATTATTTTTATTTGGCCTATACACTTTTTATACCTAACCAGGAACGTTCGGTAGCGAAAAATGAAAATTGCAGGACCACAGGTTTTGATTCCTGCAAGAGGAACTAGCAGTCGCAACCGTTCCTGGTTAGGTAGAAAGTGTGTATATTTCACGTGTTCTCGAGTTAACTAAAATAAAACTAAAAAGAAAGTGAACAACTTTTATTCAGCGAGGATCGATTCTCCGTGAACACTGTAGTCCAGTTTACACTACGCTGTAACGCCATGGCACAGAATACTACACAGCAGTCCATCTCTATTGTTTTTTGCGTAAGCGTTATTCGTCATGTCGTCACTCAGCAAGTACTGTAAACAGAAGCAGTCACCCCCTGGACATGCACCATTTTTAGTATTTCCAGGAGGGGACTGCTTCTGTTTATGGTACTTGCTGAGTGACGAATCATGACGAATAGAGCTTATGCAAAAAGCAATGGAGATGGACTTCTGTGTAGTATTCTGTGCTTCTGGTCCTAGCCAGTGCGCTTATGAAAGGCATTCACCCCGCCTGGACGTCCACCATTTTGAATATTATCAAGGGGGGTGAATGCCTCTTATAAGCGCACTGGCTAGGACCATGCATGGCGTCAGCATTTTGATGACGAATTACGGTTACGCCAAAATCATAGGAAAAACCAAGAAGTCAGTCTTCTGTATAGTCTCTATTCTGTGGTAGTGTAGTGGGCCTTCATTTTAATCTGAGCTCACCTCTCGATTACAAGAAATACACTGTTTTGTCGAAGACATGTCCGCACCACAATCACTTGACATCATTTGTGAAATACAATCTGTTGTCTGCAAAGCAAAACACATTGAGTTTGAAAATCTAAGTTTACTAATTAATTACTAAATACCGAAAAACTATCAATAAGTGAGAATGATCAATAACAACCGTAAGGTCTATGCAATGGTGTGCAGCTGATGATGACCAACTGGCAGTAACAGTATCAGACAAATGAAAAAATTATGTTTGTGATGTTACTCTGAGGCCCCGTTTACACTATACCGGATTGCTATCGGAGTGGGTCAAATTTTGTAGGTATCGAAAGGCTGTGAAGATTTTTAATCTCAGAGACCCAAATAAACATGCCAATTCTGTCACACCAATAAGCATTTGCTACTAACCATTGCTCCGTAACGGCAAAAGAAGATGTCGTGACCAGCGAATCGGGTATAGTGTAAACAGGGCCTGAGTGTGTATCCACACCGGGCAAGTTGAAAAGTTTGCCTGGCCACGGTGGGAACCGAACCCGTAACCTTCGGGATACCAGTCCAATGTTCTACCAACTGAGCTACGAGGTCAAGTCGGTTCGAGTTTTTTGTTTTTTGTTTTTTTTTGTTGTTTTTTTTTTATTAGTTTTACAATAAGAAATTAAAGGCACAGACAACAGGACTAATAAAGTCCCAAATTAAGTCCTGCCATACATGAAAATACTACGCTATACTATGCTATACTATACTATAAACGGTTATAAAATTAACAAAATACATAGCTAGTTACATATTTACGGTATTACATAATTACATTCGTACAAAAACTCAGAACATGCACTTCTACGAACAACAGGACGTAAAACAAGAACGACATTTAGAGCAAAACGTTTTCCAAGTCCTAGGCCTATTATGATCAGGCAAACTTTTCAACTTGCCCGGTGTGAATCACAGGCGGCCCAATCTCGCCAGGGTCAGTATAGACTTATAGTATAAATGCTGTGCTGAGTGGTTATATTACTACCTTAAAAAATAAGCAGAAACTCGACGTTTCGAGCGAAGGCCCTTCGTCAAGAGTTAGTATGTATATTATATTAATGTATATTATAGTAAAAATATGTCGTAAAATATAAATTTTAAAATGAAATTGACTTGCCTATTTGATAGTGTGTGTTCTCCTTTTATTCCTCCTTTGTTGGACTAATACTTTCCGAGACTTTGTACTCGATGTTACTAGTATACATGAAACATGATATCATGGGGACAAAGTACAAAGTCTCGGAAAATATTAGTCCAACAAAGGAGGAATAAAAGGAGAACACACACTATCAAATAGGCAAGTCAATTTCATTTTAAAATTTATATTTTACGACATATTTTTACTATAATATACATTAATATAATATACATTTATACTGTAAGTCTATACTGACCCTTGCGAGATGGGCCGCCTGTGTGTAAATACATACTCAGAGTAAAATCACAAACATCATATTCACCCGAGTACGTAACACCAACACACACAAAAATATCAAATGAAAAAAATGTTAATTATTTCAACATAATCTTGTATATCTCTTTTTCATTCTTCACATGGAAGAGTCAACTCTCAAACTCACTTCGACGAGTACATGATTTCACAATGCTGGCAGCGAGCTCATTTTTGCGATGAGTGAAAACGGAGCCGCTAGTCATTTCATTTAATTTTCCTGTTTCTCTAAAGTGTGAATAGTTCTTGAGTTCACCGCCATCTGATGTTCCACAATGCTTACCATTGGTGGATTAAGCAAGGTTTTTTTAGAGAGGGGGGGGGGGTGTTCTAGGCGAGCAACCATGAACGAGAGATGAAAGTTTGGGTAATCGTTCCATGTTTCGGTAATCGTTCCACAGTAAACGTTATGAAATGGATATTATAGACTTATAGTGTACTGAAAAGTTCACTGGATACATCCATACACACCCTAACCTTAAACCTAACCTAATCCTAACTTATATTGGTGCGCGAAGAGTTCGTACAGTCTGGTTTTCATATATGGTCGTAAAGATTGAATCGTGATCTTTCTCGTCAGTGACTGATAATACGTGGAGTGATTATAACTAGAGAATACGCATGGTTTATATGTATGATATTTGCTGTGTTGGTGTAATGTACTCAGGTGAATAAGATGCTTGTGATGTTACTCTGAGTGTTTCATCGATTTATATGTAGTTTTCAGGTAGAAACTATTATAAATTGGCCGTTGAGAAAGATCGTGACTCTATTTTTACCACCATATAGAAACCAGGTTTGAGTTAAAGAAGATTTATCAACTCTCCTGCCCCCTCCAGTGAATACAGGAAAGTTGAGGAGAATAGACTTCTCTGTTTACTTTTGTTCAAAATGGCCTCGTAAAGCCCTCGTTTTCATGTTCGCCTGTTTTAGCAAGACAGGCGCACATGAAGGTTATATCTCCATATTTTGGGCACGAATGTTTCTCTGTGGACTTGAGCCCAATCACAAACCTATCCTTTGCCCTACTGTGCCGACGAAATATGAGGAAATATTTTTCTTTAATATCTTTTTATGAACACAGATCTCTAAAGTCTAAACAGTGAAACGTCTCTAACGTCTCTTCAGACAAGAAATATTAAAGTAGCTCCTTGCCCGAACTTTACACAAATTTTCTAATTTCAATTAGTAAACTCCTATATATGGATGTGACAAAAATTCAAATATTCAAGTGCAAACTTACATCGTGATCACACAAATCTGGGTATAAATCTCAAATTTCCCGAGAATGGACTATATTTTATAGAGCTCAACAGAACTTCTGGCTATAATATTCTCGCAGCTCCTCGTGGAATGAACAACAGTATTTAACAGGTATCATAGATTGCAAGGTCTGATAGTTAACGAATATATATATATATATATACATTGCCACCTGCAAAATTATCACAAACAATCTTTGAAAATAACATTAGACTCTACACCACAACATGACAATTTTTTTACAATCTGAAATGCCCATGAGGCAATATAGCTTTTATTGTGGCATGTATAAATTTTACATGCAGTACAGTCTACATAGGTCAGGTGAACTCCGCAATACATTTGATTCTCTTATGAAAGAATATCCTACTTCTTCAATAAGCTTCAATAAACTTAGTGGTATTGCGGTGTGGTGCTGGCTTTTCTCTTGCCGCAAAACAACTTTTCTTTAGAGTACGTTTTGAAATTGTACAAAATCAGTGTTGTTTTATCGCTATTATGTTTACGTCACACGCTGTGAGCAATAGAGCGGATATCCGCTATTACCACTGATATATCGACAATTATATTCCCGATTAGATATGAGACGTGCCTGATGGACCTCTAAACAACATGTTTTCATGTTTCAACTCGAGACAATTGTGATTGTCAATGATCTTCCTTCGTTCCTTAAATTAAGACCGATTTACACAACAACCTACATGCTTACAACTTGAGTAGCACTGTGTAAATCTAGCACACAATTCAGCTACGTTGTCGTAGGCAGGTGACTGAGTTTTATGCTTGATTTACACAGTACAACTCGAGTTGTAAACAGGTTGCATGCATAGATATCTTATATACACTAGATAGTGCATCTAATTATTCTGCAATTCAAAAATTGAAGCCGTGATTGCAGACTCAGGATATTCCCATGAAAATGATGAAATGAGAAGACTCGTATGTTTTCTATGTCTTAAACAGGGAACTTAAACATTAAGTTAAACCTATTCCAAATACATTTTCAAACTATTCAAATGATGAAAGTTATTGTTGTTTTTTAAGCGTTTATTAGCGAGTGGGAAACTCCAACATGGCCGCCATCTATTCAAATGGGGGTAACCCCTGGAATATTCTTGGCTTCAATTTTACTAAAGGAGATGCGCTGTCTAGTGTATATAAGATATATATGGTTGCATGCGACGGTTTTAGGCAAGAGTTGTGTAGTGTGTAAATCGGCGTTCACGTTGAAATCTTTCACGTCAGATAATTTCACTTGTTAATATCAGACAAGCCCTTATCTAAGAATACATAACGATCTCTAATAAAATAATTCACTTTGCCAATATACATAATTGAAAAAGACCAATGAAGAAACGAAAAAATTAAACTCTTCACTGACCAAACATTCCTTTGTTCTATTCTATATATCGGCTTCCGATAATCAGAACAACGATAATTACGAACTACAACACATTTAGTTAAATGTAAAACTATAAAGTGGTGAATTTCTCTCAAGAAATTGAAGAAAAGGATGGTTTATATTTGAATTTAAAAATATGCTATATTGTTATTTCAACCTTATGCGTCTGAAACCTGATAGACATTTTATTTCTACTCAATGTAAAAATTAAAGATAAAATTGATGACTTTCCTTTACGAAGTAAAATCGTTCGGCGTTAGACAGAATACAATCACTAAAGGCGCGGTATACCGATTTGCCTCAAGCAAATTCATTTATCTTATTATTTTGTCTATCGACAACTACAGCTTGGACGTTGAATTTTTCTAACCAATTAACACTGAACTTCACCTAATCACGACAACACTTCATGAATTTCACAGAAATGGATTATATATCAAACAAATTTATTCCAATTTGCGTATCTCTCATTCTCAAATCAATCACCCAAATACCACAAAAATTTCATTATTTCAAGAACATATTAATATTCTCTAGTTTCATGTATATAATCCTGTGAATTCCTCGCCACTATAATATCCTGTTCAACCGCCGTCTTTTATACATTTCTCGCTGCTCAAACGTCATGTAAGAGCATGTAAATTTTCTCAGGAGAGTGTTTTATCGTATTCAACCGTTTCCCCACGGAATAATAATTTCCTTTATACTCCTAATCATTTATACAAACGAATAGTATATAACCTCACTCAAACCTTGCTCTAGAATCGAACATTCTTTGTAAAAATTACACAAGAAATTGCTTCAGTTAAAGCCTTTAAACATTTATAATAAATGACAAATTTTCATATGCGAAACCCGATCGCGACATAAAAAAGCTAGTTCCCATATTATGCTTTATAAACTGTCTGCCTTCCCGCATTTATAATTCACTCGATTGGTTTAGCTTCTCAATCGATAATACTATATGTTATTCCCGTCTTCATTGACTAGTTTAAATAAACTCAGAAATCTTACCGAGTCATCAAGTATTCTGCTTGTCTCAACAGCGTTTGTATTTGGTCTGTGCGACGATTCATTGAGTTGTGTCGTCATGATCATTCGCTTTCTCGACTCTTCAAATTTCCTCGATGCTAGTGCTACTGATTAAAATCCGTGGCTCGCTCGTGGGCAGCGGGTTATCTATATAAGGAGTGAAAGAGACGGATTATATGAGACGGGGGTTGAGACGTCATTGCTTCTGAGACACAAGGCATGCATGTCATGTGTGACCTTATGTTGCAACCCACGTTTATTGGATAGATTGTGTTGAGATGCCTACATTACAGGAGGTGACTCAATATTATATAACACTTCAGCCATTGAACAAATTGCTCAAGTACTTCTCGTTTTACTAATATAAGAAAGTTAAGAAACACAAGATCATCTTGCACAGTTTGTGTCAGCATAGATATAATGACAAAAACATCATAGAACTATAGATGGTTACGGGAACCACGGAGTATTTTAATAAAATATAAAACAACGGTAAACCCGAAAATAAACATTTTAATATTCTAGCTTTCGACTATAAGATTCAGTCATCATCAGGAAGATGATGACTGAATCTTAGTAGTCGAAAGCTAGAATATTAAAATGTTTATTTTCGGGGTTACCGTTGTTTTATATTCTATATAGATGGGCTCATGGGCAATAGGGTTTGAACTGTCTGAAAAATACAAGGTCAAGGAAACTACGACGTTTCAAGCGAAGCCATCAGGATGTTAGTATATAGCTAAACTGAGAAAGGGCCTTCGCTCGTATCGTCGAAGTTTCGTTGTATTATTGAGATAGTTGATATATAGCCATCTACGGTTCTCTATAGTAATATAACATCATACAATTTGAACCAAAAAGCACGAGGAACACTTGAACACTTCGAGCGAACACGCTTGTCTTGCTAAGTGTACAAACTCCACTCATGCGGTTGATTTCAGCTTTTTCATATAATAGGCATATAAAGGTCCATATACACACTGGACGCGATTCGACAACGCGACGCGATTTTTTAGTTTTTGACAGTTAATAAAACAGCCAATGAGAGAAAATTTTAAAAGATATATAGACCAAATAACTCAAAATGTTCTAACGCTTCTAAATATTTGGAAAATTTAAACTAGGATCAAAGTTGTCGTTCCGAGTGAAAATTGAAAAATCGCGTCGCGTTGTCGAATCGCGTCCGGTGTTGTATGGAGCTTAACACTCGTTGACGGCAATACTACGCTCAAATATAGTTTCTTTTCAATAAGAGCCGAGTGAATATATAAGCCTGAAAATATCAATTTATATATATTACTTCCACGTCGCGGTTTGTGTCTGAACTATCGGAAAACTGATCTTCAATGACAATGTTTCAGGTACGTCTGCTTATACTTCATCGAGAGCAAGAACGATATATATTTATAAAAATATATATCTATTTTGTGTTGTCTTTAAGTGTGAGACAACATGACAAACATATATCTTCACTGGAGTGCATATAACACCAGAAATAAAAAAATGGAAATATATCTTATCATCCGACTATGGAAACGAGTTGATGAACGACACTACTAGTGTCACATTTTAGCACTCGAAACTGAAATTACTTTACAGTTCCGCCCGGCCTTATTAACAATTTGTCCTCAGTCACAAATAATATGCGGCGTAACGTTCCAGGTGATCTCGTGTTCGTATTTTAGCCAATCAGCGCTCAGAAAGGGTTGTCCGAATAGAAATCCATTTTGATGTATTCAGTCAATTATATCTTTCGTTATTCTTTATGAAACTAGTTGAAATTTTGTAATTATGTTTGGTTATGAGAACTCTAGCTCTGACAAAAATATAGAATCAAAATAAAGTATATTACAGGAGATATTCAGTTGTTTTAATCATAAAATGGATTTCTATTTGACAACTAGTGCCAGTACTTTTCCGCGTATCAAGATCATCTGGTTAGGAGTCTCATTACAACAAATTTGAAGTAGTATATACGTTTATATGAACACTAAAACATCACTTGGAGAAAATGTATAGTACGTCTATTTCATCCGAGAAATTGTATATTTGCAATGCCAATAGTTGACTGCAAAAACTCGATCGCTCGTTGGCGGTAACGCGGAAACTTACTGCAAATATGAAATGGTGCTTAATCTGTTTTCCGTCAGATTTTATGGGTTTAAATAAGTACATGCAAAAACACTACAGCATGCTATAGTGGCTTGATTTTTATCCGAAATAGAAAGCTTTGAATTTAATTAATCTTACTGTACATGATATACAGGTAATTAAAGTCAACCGCCTATAGTTAGATTCATGTATCTTATCATGCGGATTCACGCCGTGTTTATTTGGCCATGTCAACATAAATTGTTCCTTTGTCTAATTCTGCACTAAGCCCAAACATCCAATACGTATTTCAATAAAGCCTCGCGCATTCACAACTTAATTCTTTTCGTCATGTACCTCTCAAAATTACTTTATTTTAGCTTTATTTTCTAGAGCAGGGTTTTCAGTTGGCAACCTTTTAAAATGCAGAAAATAAGAGAAACAGAAAATAATAGTAAAAACTGTCCTTGAAGTAAAACAAAATTATCAACGAAACTCTCATTACACTAGAAATTAAAATTGATCTGTGGTAACCATCGGTTAGATTCTTCAGTTATAGTTATCATTGTGTGTGCCAAATTTCAGAGGAATACCTCAAAAATTGAGCGCGCAGCGGACGATTTCGCTAAAACATGAATGCATTATATCATAAGATGTAGCCTTAAAATTGATGTCATGTTTACAGCAATATGGCATGTAAAACTTATATTGAACTTCAGACGTCATTTATTGGGTACGAGGCTGTCATTTATCAGCTTTGGAGTACCATCCAAATTCTCAATTATTTTAGCATTATTTTACAAATGAAAGTCTAAACATACTTTTATAGGCCTTTATAGGTTATATATTTCCCAACAAGATCATCTATTCTATTGAAGTTAAAACATAGTTGGAACACTCATTAAACCTTTACTGTTTTATCAATCTAGAGCTTGAACTGTCCGCCGTAACAATCGGTTAAAAATAACACGTTTTGACCCAGGGCTTAATTAAATATGGCTCTGTGTCAAAAATTGCGTTACAAAATGCATGACTGATGTAGGACAGCTAAAATGACTCAGTTAATGAAGTCATAGTGTATTTTTAGACCCAAATCACGCGATTGCGTTATGACATGACAACGCCAAATTGATATATCAAGTACATGCATATGGGAATGGCATTACGTCATTTTTGTGATAACTATGACGTCAGTTTTGCGTGGGCGTAAAAGAAGGTATAAATATGACGCGCGCGTGAGAATTGCTGCATAATCAAATACGAGATTTAACGTTTAGATACACAAGATTAATACAAAAATTTTTTTTGAATGATGCTAAGCGAGAATATATCAGATACTGAAAGACAGAACACAATGGTTTTGAACGGGGGGATGCACTGCATAGCTTGTGGGGAGAAGGTAAGTTTGGCAAATTTATTGGTTAAATATTAAATGTACAAATACAAAAAAATCATCAAACGTTAACTTACTTAACTAATCGGGAAAGACGCGAACGGGACTAAAGTACCCATGCGAGGCGCCTTCCGGCGTTAAGATAACTATATGAATAGTAACAAATTATATGATATAAACCGTAAATATAACTATATGCCTAGTTCAGTGACAGTCATGAGACAGAAGCGTGTGTCAAACAATGTCAGATATATTTGCTAGATTAGCTGTTTAAACGAAGAGATGCTATAAAAACTCTGTGCAGAGGCTGTTTTGCAAATAATCTTCCATAGTTTGACAATCCGGTTGTAGAAGGAGCCCTAGTAAGTACTGCATGGTAAGCACTATTATGAACAGGCCTAGCTCACTGCAGGACCTCAGTTTACAACTGGTAGAGTTATATTCACTAATATGATACCAAGCGAAGATAAGCATGATATCATTGATAGACCGCATCTCCAAGCAAATAAATATAACAGCGAAGGATCTAAGCGTTCGTTGAAAAGAAAAATCCGATTTTTTAATGTTTAGCCTGCGTGTATGACCACCCTGGCCTTGAAATGAGCCTGCCAGTCATGCAACTCAGGCCAAATGGGCAACAATTAATCGGGCCGATTTCAGGTTTAACCAAATGATTGATTTGAAAAATAGGCTGCAACGTCATCTGACGACATCGTCAACCGTGACAACTTCTTCATTAACATTCGGTAAAACCTGAAATCGGCCCGATTAATCGTTAAACGTACCTTAAAAAAGTACAGTCAACATATAGCGTTATTTTACAAGATAAAGCACCCACGTGCTTTCTATAAATTTAAGTTTGTTTGCCCATGTAAAAACGCATAAAAATTAAAAATTTGAAATGCACAAATAGCCATGTGGTCAATTTATTCTCGTTAGTTTTGAGAGCGTGTGACGTACAAGAGAGAAAAATGTCCTCTTGATAAACAATTAAATATCTGATGCTTCTCACAAGAACTTCACATATTTCCTTCCTTACAAGTTTAAGTTGAGGACATCGAGAGGGTTGATAGACAAAAACTGTATTGTCTTTAGCCCGTTCCTGAACAAGTATAACATAGGTCCTATCACTTTGGCCTGAATGTGTGTAAACGTGCTTTCAACGATTTAAAATTTTTAATTTTATGTAAATTTGTAAATGTCGACAGAAGTCAAATTGGGAGGTAGCCTCGCATGGGCTATTATGGCCCGTTCGCTATTTTCCCGTTTAGGAACTGCATGTTTGTTGTATTTGTACCTTATTAATGTAATATATTAAGTTCCTAATAAAGCTGTTAAAAAAAAAAAAAGTGTTGGCCAAATCCAATGTGGGATGAAAATTTTAAACAGAGTCTATGAACTTGATTGAACAGTCTTCCAACATAACCCAACACATGGGATGAATGTAAACACAAACACATTTCAACCGCGGCCTCGGCTGTAAGTGTACCCTTGACATTCGAACAACACAAGCAACACATGCTAACAAAATTAAGCCATCTCAAAAAGAAAATTGCCTGGCAAGGGGGAATAAATTTAAAATTTTGTGATTTTCGTACCGGTCTCATGCCGTAAACATGTTGACAAATGATTTCAACTTTCATTCCGGTTTGACTTCGTCCGAGTCTCATGTAAACGGGGCCTAACTCGTTTGTGACACTGGGTCTTTACTCTGAGTCGCACAACAGTGGGAACGAGAGAGGGAAGACAACTGGTTAGCTACTTAATAACTTCCTAAATCGTGCGTGGCAGGCTATTAAATCCGTTTATCAGGTGGCGTGTTACTTAAAATCTGAAACGTTTTCTCGTCAAACCGGTTCATAGTCGGATCGTGCATTCGTGCCAAATGTCACTCAGTTATAAGGACGATTTAGACTACACAACTTTTGCCTAAAACTGTCGACGCTTGTGAACAAATGACTCTGCGGAAATGAAGTCCAAATATTACTTTGACTTTTGTTGTCTTGTTTAAATACTGTAGCTCGAATCTTGAGTTTACAAGTTGCTAACAGTATTCGTAGTGTATTTTGTCTTATATTATAATCACTTCAGCACTGCTTGCATGTCCTCACTTTATTGGACAGATTATTGACGATAATCAAGACACTATAAAATTATAAGAAAGCTTTGGATGGATAAGATTAAGGATGCAACTGCCTGTAAAATACAAGGAGAACTTCGAAGTTTCAAATGAAGGTCCTTTACTGACTTCCTGCATGACCAAGGGTCTTCGGCTCGAAACGTAGAAGTTCTCCTTCTATTTTTCACGTAGTTGCATCCCTATCAATCTTGAAACAGATCGTTCCAGACTATGAACAGTATTTCCTACCTCGATGAATACGTTGTGCTTATAGCTGCAGGAAACCCTCAGCGTTCAATGAAACATCTTTCAGTACGCGGAAAAACACACCATTTCTCCACAGGAGTTGTGTCGCAACTACAAAGCCAAATTATACAGTATTTAAGCTTTAAGTATGATGAAGGAAGTTCGCACACAAGAGCTAATACGGAAGTATATTCCTCGCCAAGTCAAGGCCAGTCAAGGATATATCGGCACGGTTGAAGAGAGCGAAAAATTAATGAAATTACTTTTTTTAGTTGGTACGCGAGATGTTAGATGCAAGCGTGACGTTTTTCTCAAAATAATGAACCTCTCTTGGGAACTGTTCAAAAAAATGCCTGTCAAGACAAAATATTAAATAAACCAATTTTATAGCCATATGACATCCACCTTTGGCAGATATCGAAAAACTGACATTAACTGTACGGTTTGATATAACAAGATATATTATAAGTCAACACATACCAACAATATCCATTTTATGCGATCACTTGAATTCATTTTTTTTTTCATTATTTCTTTTATATTTGCCTCGATATTTGCCCAAGAATACTTTGCTAATATATCATGTATAAATTATACAAAAATACTAGCGGGAGTTAAGATCCATTACTGTACTACAATATCCTGATATTACCAATAATGAATTAAGGCTCAGCTCCTACAAGTCAACATGAAATTTTAACAAGGGGGCTCAGCCCCCCCTGAGCCCTCTCTCCCCCCGTCATCCACTACACCACTGGATAAGTTTGGCTCAGGGGAATTTTAAAGCACATTTTCACATTTTCATAGCACTGAGCCGTATCCAAATCAATCCTTGCCCGTCCCGATTACTATAAATTACACTACGCTTGCCCAGATTTCGGAGTCAAATAAAGCTAGGCTTGTCACTTAGAAAATTTTTGGCTGATCGAAAAAAAATTTCAGTCGTCATACATCGACTTAGAAAGGTTCAAAACGCATATTAACGGAGATTTGGCTCAGGGGGATGGTTTGGCTCAGGGGAATTTTAAAGCACATTTTCACATGGCTATGATAGCACTGAAGACGTATGCAAATGAATACTTGCCCGTCCTTCAATATA